TTATACGAGACAACTTTCTCATCACTATCACTTCTCCTTTGGGAGTTGCCTGTTTGTGATGATGTTGAGATGAGCACCTAAGCCAAATGCTGAATTTCTACACAGAAATGGCTTACTCACACAGTAAAAAAACTGCCATGGGGAGCTACTATTTAAAAATGCCCTATGCATGGCAACTGTAACACAAACATCTCCTATCTATCAACCAACGAGCAGATAACTCCAGTAGGTAAAGTAAAGGTAAAGGGACCCCTGACCATTAGGTTCAGCCGTGACCGACTCTGGGGTTGCGGCGCTCATTTCAGCTTTATTGGCCGAGGGAGCCGGCGTACAGCTTCCAGGTCATGTGGCCAGCAGGACTAAGCCGCTTCTGGCGAACCAGAGCAGCGCACGGAAATGCCGCTTACCTTACTGCTGGAGCGCTACCTATTTATCTATTTGCACTTTGACATGCTTTCAAACTGCTAGGTTGGCAGGAGCTGGGACCGAGCAACGGGAGCTCGCCCCGTCACGGGATTCGAACTGCCGACCTTCTGATCGGCAAGTCCTAGGCTCTGTGGTTTAACCCACAGCGCCTTCCATATAAAGTACAATATTAGAGGTGTGTTTTACATTTCTACTGACAGCTCATTGGAGTGATTTCCAAAAGAGAATAATGTTGCTTGTATTACAAATCCCTGAACAAAGATTCAGAGATACTGAATTAGAATCAAACCCAAGAGTGACTCCCCCACCCCCCGCTGCAAATCTTCATGTACTATATTAAAGAGAAGAAAAATCCTGGCAGGTTTTTGTTTTTTGTTTTACTTGCTCTTCTTTTCCCCAGCCTCTAAAAGTCCTTTCCTAAAAGGCAGATTTTGGGAACTGATTCTCCCTCACCCTCCTTAGCAACACAACAGCCACACATTTCAAGCTGGATTTATTGTTTCCCATTTCCATTTGATAAGGAATGTTTGCTCAAGAAGCCGCAATGTGCTCACATAGAAAAAAAAAGAAAAAGCAAGAAACCATCATTTTGCCATTTGCTTCTTTGAAATAGCAAATGTTGCCCAGCAAGAAAGCACAGAATGGTCACATGGTACCTGAAAAGAGAAGATCCCTTTTTTTTGCTAGTGCTGATAGATCATATCTGAAGTGAACACTGATAAGCAGAAGACTCTTTTGTAAAATTATGGATGCAGGCAGGCTAAAGGGAAAAAAGGCTCATTGGGGAGAAAATATATTGCAACGTGATAGGTTTAAAATGTTTCTTGCTTTCACAGGAACCGAGTAATCCATGTCAAATGAATGTGCCTTTTCTGCTAAACTGGGTATTATCGCTATCAAAATTGCACCCCACCACAGTGGCACACTCCAATGTCGCTGTGCATAAGAACAGCAATGGCAAAAATGTCGCAAGTAAAGCTTTTACCAAAAAGAAAAGACAGAAAACAAACCCAGGTTAAATTGTTTGGCAATTACTAATTGTTTCTTTTTAAAACCTTTTAATGTAGTGAGAGATTTTACTTTCTTGGGCTCCATGATCACTGCAGATGATGACAGCAGTCACGAAATTAAAAGACGCCTGCTTCTTGGGAGAAAAGCGATGACAAATCTAGACAGCATCTTAAAAAGCAGAGACATCACTTGCCGACAAAGGTCCATATAGTTAAAGCCATGGTTTTCCCGGTAATGATTTATGGAAGTGAGAGCTGGACCATAAAGAAGGCTGATCGCAGAAGAATGGATGCTTTTGAATTATGGTGCTGGAGGAGACTCTTGAGAGTCCCATGGACTGCAAGAAGATCAAACCTATCCATTCTGAAGGAAATAAGTCCTGAATGCTCACTGGAAGGACAGATCATGAAGCTGAGGCTCCAATACTTTGGCCACCTCATGAGAAGAGAAGACTCCCTGGAAAAGACCCTGATGTTGGGAAAGATGGAGGGCACAAGGAGAAGGGGACGACAGAGGACGAGATGGTTGGACAGTGTTATGGAAGCGACCAACATGAGTTTGACCAAACTGCGGGAGGCAGTGGAAGACAGGAGTGCCTGGCATGCTCTGGTCCATGGGGTCACAAAGAGTCAGACACAACTAAATGACTAAGCAACAACAACCATGTAGCATATCAAGCTTCAGCTACAGCCCTTCTTAAACAACAGGGTATCTAAAACCATAGAAATGTAGAGTTGGAAGGGATCCTAAGGGCAATGCAGGAATCTCAACACATGATGTGATCCTTCATCCAATTTGAAACCATACCAGAGCCAGTTTAGCTTTACAAATTTGCTAACAGTTTTATTGCTGCTCTACTAGGACCATAGTATATGGTGTCAGGGTGTGTTCCACCTCATCCTGAAGACCATTTTGCAAAGCGGGGGCCACCACTGAAAAGGTTTGTTGATGCTGTTTGAATTTTGGATACAATCCTGCCATGACAAATTTTCAAATTTAAGTAAGTAATGGATCAGTCCCTATCATTGCAGATGAGGCTCAGTATGTCTGCTCCTGCTTTAAGTAAGGGATCAATTTCACTTGATGGTATTTAGAATTTTCTGCAACAATTCTGGACATAAGTGGAGATAAAAGTTAGAAGAGAGAGAGTCTATTTTGTCAGCATAATTTTGGCCAAAAGATGTCAGTCTTGTGGTAATGTTAAAGTTTAGTCTTGTGGGCTGGCACAGACCTGGTATGCAGGCTGAGACCCAACCTGCCCGCAGACTATCTCACCAGAGTGGTGCATGCTCTAGTTATCTCCCACTTGGACTACTGCAACATGCTTTATATGGGGCTACCTTTAAAGGTGACCCAGAAACTACAACTAATCCAGAATGCGGCAGCTAGACTGGTGACTGGGAGCGGCCTCCGAGACCATATAACACCAGACCTGAAAGATCTTCATTGGCTCCCAGTACGTTTCCGAGCACAATTCAAAGTGTTGGCGCTGACCTTTAAAGCCCTAAACGGCCTCGGCCCAGTATACCTGAAGGAGCGTCTCCACCACCATCGTTCTGCCCAGACACTGAGGTCCAGCGCCGAAAGCCTTCTGGCGTTCCCTCGCTGCGAGAAGTGAGGTTACAGGGAACCAGGCAGAGGGCCTTCTTGGTAGTGGCACCTGCCCTGTGGAATGCCCTCCCAGCAGATGTCAAGGCAATAAACAACTATTTTACTTTTAAAAGACAACTAAAGGCGGCCCTGTTTAGGGAAGTTTTTAATGTCTGATGCTGTATTGTTTTTAACATTGGTTGGAAGTCGCCCAGAGTGGCTGGAGAAACCCGGCCAGATGGGTGGGGTATAAATAATAAATTTTGTATTATTATTATTATTATTATTATTATTATTATTATTATTATAATATAGGCCTCCCCTCCCCTTCTGGGTGTTTAATGGACCATTGTCTTATTTTACAGCCTTTGCTAAGCAGATAATGGTACTTGCAAGGGACTCATCCTCCGAGTCAGATGGTGGTAGGGCTGTGGCTTCCAGCTTAGCCCTGAATAAGTTATGGGTGGCTCTCTCCTTGAGGAAGCAGTCTGAACCTTGTCCTCATCCGAGTCCTCCACTGGGCACTGCACTGTCCCTGGATTGTGGCCCGTGGCCATAATGATATAAGGATCTACTATGTGAACCAACCTACTCCAACTTTTTTTTTAAAAAAGCTATTTTTTTGTTTTCTTCCACTTTCAGAGCCCATCATAGAAATATAAAGAATCCATATTGAACAGTATGATAAACTATTATAAAATGCCGTTTGCCATTCCCCACATTCATATGTTTCATAATTCCCCTGTCCACATGAGAAATTCAATTCCCAGGCTCCTTTTAATTTTGAGATTGTAGCCAAAGCCAAAGATCCTTAATTCTCAATAAGAAAAAGAAAACAAATGAAATAGAAAGGAAGAAAAGAAGATGACAAAGATGACTCCGTCCCTCTCTGTATCACAACCTCCCTTCCTCAGACAGGATGGTCGTTTCTACTCACCCATCTTCAGAGATGCAAGTCTACTGCCCCATCCTTTAGGGAAACTTCCTTCATCTCTCCATGCCTAGAAGAGGTCCCATGCCTGCTTCCCATAGTAGTATATAAAACACATGAATATGATCTGTTTTGCCAGCGTTTGTGAGTCTGGGGAAATTCATCTGGGATCCTGTACAATGAATTCACAGCTTTGGCAATGAAGAATCCATTGCCATGCCTCTGATCTCATAATATAGATGGTATACATATTTATGCACTAATGTCTCACGGAGGACACAAGCTTTTGATGAAAGTCATTTTCAATGGTGTTTTTTTTCTGGCTTAAGAATGTGCATTCACACATTCCATCATTTGAACGCATGAGCCTGAGGTGCCATTAGTCTGACTCAAGCAGGCTGATGAAATCCCATTTTAAAATTCTGGGTTTCACAAGCCTGCCAGCAAGACCTTCATGTCTGATCAATTTATTCCACTTTCCCCCTGAGAATGACTCCTGCAAAAAAAGAGAGCAGCGTTCATACTTTCTACAAATTAGATTTGTAATGTATTGAAAGGCAAGCTCTCCAAGTCACACACAATACAGAGGCAGAGCTCAAAGTGTTAATCAGTTTCATTACTGATCAGCTCATTAAATGTACCAGCAGCTAGCTAGCCATTAGATTCCAACCCTTATCCATCAATTTTAGATGCTTGCTGTGAAACCATTGATAGAACAGGACAAAGGATAAAAGGGATGTATTGGACTGTTCAGAGTCTCCAGTGGCTATAAGAGATATTAAATGGCAATGCTACTTGGAATTCTCTAAATGTGTTATAAATGAATCCTTTCTTCCTGTATTTGGAAATCCAGTAATTGCTCCATCTTGTATGTATTAACTACCAGAGCGACCAAAGTAGCTAACTTTCAAAGTCTGATGTGTATACATTCAGCTATATTATGCAAATGGTAAAAATCATTAATAGAAAAGGAAACTATGGCTAGCATTTGTGTAAAAAAGCAGTTTCACCAGTTCTTCTTACAATTATTCGTGGGGATCCAAGATGGCGACGTGAGCGGCAGCCTTGTCTTATGCTCGGTAAAGCTATATTTTTATTATCTGCTTTGACGGGTTCTAAGGGCTCTAAGATGCCTTAAGGCGTTTATTTTAGAAGTTTTATGGTTTAGATTATTTCTACTTCTCCCATAAATCTGCAAGAAAACACGGCAGATAAAGACTGTTAAAGGGAGTAGGGCTCATTAACAGCACAACCTGCCCTGACCCTACTATTTTGAGAAATTTTCTCCCTATTTTCTTGCCGACATGAGAGGGAAGAAACGCCGCAGGCAGCATTCCAATGAAGCTACGAGCACTGCCAAAAAACAGACAAATATCAGGGATTTTTGCCTGACAATGACCTAAATGAGATCTGTAGAAACTTCCCCACAGCAAACAGCCATGAGGTCCTTGCTCCCAGTACTACTCATGAGGAGCCTGCCGGCATTGTGGATGGCCCACAACTAGCCTCGAGCCTGTGTATGAAGGAACAGATGGAACAGACTCTTGAGTCCCTGCAAAAACTTCACCTGAATTATCCCAGTCACCAGCCCAGTTAAACAAGGACCGAGAGGCACTGGAACTGCTAATCTGCCAGACTGAGTTGATAACACATACTATCACCAACTTATATAAAAGGCTGGATGGGATCGAAAAGAAGCTTGAAAAAGCCTTTGGCTTGTTCAGTTGCCCCCCCTCACTCCTTCAGCTTAACAACATTGCAAACTCCGCTCACCCCTGCCCAAGTGCGCAGGCCAACCTTGCACAAAAACAAGTGAGATGCCTGCCCAACCAAGTACAAAACTCAAGTCTGCAACTCCAGAACAGCAAACTTGCAGTACTGGTGGGAAACCACCCCTTGAATTATAACAAATGGGCGGATAAACATTCGGTCACAAATTCCCTGACCCAACTGCTGGGGCAGACATTACGCCCGTAGATATCGTGGACATCTCATGGCTGCCTTCTGGACCTTATATGAGACGTATGGTTATTAACTTTAGATCTGCCCATTTCGTTGCAAAGATTCTAAAATTAAGAAACCGCACAAGAAAATGGTACATCTATTTTACAAGGGTATTCACCAATCTGACCCGTACACCGCTATGCACCAGGATAGGTGCTGTCGGTGTTGATGCTGGGCCTGTGCGCCATAAAGAACAAATAGACGGGGGAATGGAGCCGGGATCTATTACCCCACAGGGAGTGGCAAGCCTGCCCGCAAATGACTTAATTGATTTCCTACATCCCCCGCTTGGTACCCTGGTCTCTACGTGCAATGAGCCTGGCATTGGACTACCCAAGCAAGACCAGTCTGAAATGCTCTCGTCCTCATATGCCTCGATGCCGGAATTGGAGGCTTCCATTATTCTAAGCCCAATACGCAATCAAGATCCACAGCTTTTGTCAAATTTTGACCCGCTAGCAGTACCGACGCAAGATGCAGTTGTCGACCTGCTACCTATACAGCCTATACGGGTCGGCAAAATCCTTGCTCTGCGAAAACCAGCTGAACATCATGATACATCAGCTGAACAACATGATATTTGTAACGGTGTCATCGAAGATCCTCTGGGCCAAATCAACCTATTGGCCCCTCAGTTAAAGTTATCATACCTATCTAGGGACCAGCGATCTCAAACCCGGAACCACCAAGCAGGGCAGATAGAGGAGGAGCCCAGCTCAGGAGCCTCAAACCATCGGAAAAGAGATTGACTGCCACTATTTCCACCATCACCCTATTTCCACATTCTATCCTGGAATGTGGCGGGATGGCTATCTAAGCAGGGTGACGTCGACCTTCTGGATTTCCTTACAAAATTTCAGATTTTATGTCTACAGGAGACATGGTGTCTAGATCTCCATGTCCCCTCTTTACAGGGATACTGAAGCCTTTGCTACCCCTGCGATAAAACCAAAATCCCGAGGCCGACCTAGTGGTGGTTTAGTCACTTTTGTTTCTACCAAGCTAAAATGCAAGGCCCGGCAACAGCAGTGGGTGAAGAGTAACAATTTACAAATCTCACTTATTTCTAGCAGTGAAGGAGGAGATTTCCTTTGCTTTAATATATATATCCCTCCCATAGGCACCCCTCCCCAGTCGTCACAATTCTGGGAAGATTTAGAGCTATGTTTGGAGAAGGCTGAACTAGAATTCCCTGGCATGGATATCCTGCTGGCAGGTGATTTCAACGCCAGGATAGGAAATGACATTAATACGTACTGCTCTAAATCTCAGTTCCTGCCAGAGGCAGATTGGTTTATTCCCTGGTCCTCAGACGATAAGGTCTTGAATAAGGCAGGCATTACATTAATGGAGACTGCCTTCAAACATAATTTGTATAATTTGCATGGTACCCATATGGACAGGTCAGGGGGTTTCTTTTCTTTTCTTGGACCCAGAGGTGCGAGCGTTATTGATTATATCCTGGTCTCCCCAAAACTCTTGGAGAGGTCACAGGGCTTCAGGACTTTCAATAGAATTGAGAGTGATCATCTTCCTATATCAATTTCACTAATTCCCCGTGGTGTGGAGGATCCGCAATACCGCAATCACTGTGCAGACCCACCTCCAACTCTGGCCCTTCGTAGGCGTAAATGGAACAGCGACCTGGAATCTAAAATCAAATTACACCTGCATTCATCAGACTTACTGGCCTTGAGAGACCAGTGCATCTCATCCATTTCTGACCCCTTTTCAACATTTCAGCAGGTCTCAGAGTCGCTCTTCCCACTACTCACGAATTCCAACCCTCCCAAAAAACAAAACAACTCGAGGGCCTGGTTCGACAAAGACTGTAGGAATCTAAGATCTTTGCTCAGGAAACTACAAAATAAGGTAAAACAGGAAGGGACCTTGTCCTCATTGGAAAACCTGCACAGGTGGCGTTCTCATTATAAAAATACTCTAAAATTTAAGAAATCCCTCTACAGAAAGGAACAATGGGAGGCACTTGACAAAGCGATCAAATTGCGGGATGACAAAAAGTTCTGGGAAATAATTGCCCAGGGAGTTTCACCCAAAGGGAAAATTGTAACCAACAGTATCTCATCTAACTTATGGTACCAACACTTTTCCCGGCTATATACAGCTCCAAACATTGCTAAACCGAGCCAGTTTCCTCCTCTTAAAAACGATCTATTAATGGGCTGGGATCCTGTTACCGAATCAGAATGTTTACAGCTAATTAAAACACTCAAGAATGGCAAAGCTCCCGGTGAGGATATGATTCCTCCTGAGGTATTTAAACTAAATGCCCAGTGGTGGGCTGCTATTTTGGCCCAACTTTTACGGTAATAAATGATATATGCAAAATCCCAGAAAACTGGAAACTGAGCCTGGTAGCCCCCATCTATAAGAAGGGAGACCCCCAAGACCCCTCAAACTATCGCCCCATAAGTCTCCTGGACATTGTGTATAAACTTTACACTCGCTACCTGCTAAATAAACTGGTTGACTGGGCTGACCACTCTAACCTGCTTAATCCGGAACAGGCAGGGTTTAGAAAGGGCCATAGTACAACAGGCCATTGTTTGGTACTACAGACAATGATAGATAAGTATACAAAGGTACATAAGAGCAAACTTTTTGTGGCTTTCGTAGATCTCACATCCGCTTTTGATTCAATCTGTAGGGACAAATTATGGCAAAAATTATATGAAACAGATATTGATAGACGACTTCTCAAAATACTTAGAGAGTTACATTCAGACACCACAGTTAAAATCAGAACTGGGATGTCAGGCAACTATACTGATCCACTGCCACTGGGGAAAGGGGTTAAACAGGGCTGTTTGTTAGCGCCGTTCCTCTTTAATTTCTATATAAATGACATTGTTCAACATATGGCAAAGTATAAGTCATCAGCTCCTGCCCTGGAAGGCAAACACCTGAATATATTACTATATGCTGATGACATGGCTGTCATGGCACTTACTCGAAGGGGCCTACATAGCATGCTGGAGGGGCTCGCAGCTTATTGTTCCCAAAACTCTCTAAAGATAAATTATGACAAAACAAAAATTGTGGTATTTACTAGAGCTCGCCACACATTTAGATGGTCTTTAGATGAACACAAAATTGAACAGTGTCCTCTTTTTAAATATCTTGGTATCACTTTCCAAGCTACATCTAGCTGGCTTGCCCACTTCAAGACTGTAGCCCTTCTAACACGTAGGACAATCGGTGCCCTGCTCAGCTTTTTTTATTCGAGGGGAGGGCAACTGGTGATCCCGGCATTAAAAGCTTTTGTTGGAAAAGTGATTCCCCAGATGCTATATGGAGTAGAACTCTGGGGATGGAATCAGAAGCTGTTAGAACGGCTTGAAATCTTCCAAAATTTTTACCTCAGAAGAATTCTAGGCCTCCCTCAGAGTACTCCGGCAGCTCTCCTAAGAGTGGAAGTAGGATTACCTTCTGTGTCTGCCAGGGCCCACTTAAGATTCCTGCGTTTTTCACCAACCTCACAGATGCCCCGAACACCTTATTGGCTAAACAAGCCTTTGTATTATTACAAAATAATACTACTTGGCATAAAAACCTACTAGATATCCTATCCAGATACAATCTACCTGAGTTTAATACCCTTAAATTGTGGAGCCCTGATAAAGTTCGGGAATGGATCTTTGAAAAGACGCCTTTTTGGACTCCACAAAGATAAAAAACTCTGGGTTTTCCTACTGGTTTCCCGAGTAAAAGCAGTCAAAATCTGTGCCAACTACTTGGTGGAGATCACTGACCCCACCCTTCGGAGAGCTTTCACTATGGCACGGTTTCAAACACTGCCAACTGCATATCTGACCGGTAGATTCACAAAAACCCCAGTAGAACATCGTTTATGCCCTTGCCTTATGAAAATTAAAGAGGATCTTACACATTACCTCCTCTATTGCCCCATCTACTCGAGCTTTAGAGACGCATTGCTGCAAATTATACCCAACTCTATAACCAATCCTGAAGATAGAGTAAAATTTTTGTTAGTTGATGCAAACCCACGTATTACCCATGTGGTAGCGGTTTTTGTGATAAAGGCCATGAAAGCCAGGGAAAGACTTATGGATGACAATGTAAAGACCCCTTCATCGTCTGTTTAACTCGTTGCTCGTTTTCCCTCTCTTTCTATTTTGTGGGATGAAGGTTTTGTTGGCGTAGTATGTAATGAATTTTAATATCTTTTAACTATTGTTGTGTTAATGTTTGTGTACAGGCATGGTCCTCACAATAAACGGATTTGTCTTGTCTTGTCTTACAATTATTCTAATCTTAGATGTGAATAGAAGCACTGACTTTAAAAAATAATAATCAGCTGTACCCTGCTGTTTCCAGCAGACTTTTAAAAAAGAAAGAAATCAAACTATGAATTATTAGTTATAATCAAAAATTATATATTGGTTCGGGAATATAAAAATAATGAATGATTTAGACTGGAAGGAGCAGGAGGTTAACTAGTTCAGATACACAAGATTTAGAATCCTAAAAGTAATCCATTGCAGTTATTTCAGGTTGAATTAAAGGTAAAGGGACCCCTGACCGTTAAGTCCAGTTGTGAATGACTCTGGAGTTGCGACGGCTTTCAGGTCATGTGGCCAGCATGACTAAGCCGCTTCTGGCAAACCAGAGCAGCACACGGAAACGCCATTCACCTTCCCGCCAGAGCGGTACCTATTTATCTACTTGCACTTTGACATGCTTTCGAACTGCTAGGTTGGCAGGAGCAGGGACTGAGCAACGGGAGCTCACCCCATCGCAGGGATTCAAACCGCCACCTTCTGATCCGGCAAGCCCTAGGCTCCATGGTTTAGACCACAGCACCACCCACGTCCTCAGGTAGAATTACTCCTCTTTAAACACGGTCGACCAAAAATGGGCAAAGCTGCCAGTGTGCTATACAAAGGTAGGAAGACTTTAGTCCTTACTGGAAATGCCACACTGTTCTGAAACCTTGGCGTGCCTGGTGACAAGTCAGTATGTCAAGTCCAAAGTTCAAATCATTGTATCTGAGCTATATAGGCTCTTTCCACACTTACCTCTTATGGCAATATAGCAGCTGTTTGATCCAAGATTTTTAAGCAGGTGTTTGAAGCTGACTCCACCTTTGGCCGCATGTCCTTGTTATTAGACCGCAAGTGGGTTCTGCCTAAATTGAGAAAAGTTCAGGGGCTGTAGCAGGGCCAGATTGAGGTTTGATGAGGCCCTAAGCTACTGAAGGTAATGGGGCCCTTTATATGTCCAGCTGTCCTTTGTCAACAACAAATTTTCGCTGTTTTTCGTGTTGAATATATGCTATACAGTCATACCTCGTGTTGCGTTCCACTTGTTATGGACTTTCAGTTTATGAACTCGGCAACCCCAGAAGTGTTTACTTCCAGGTTCACCACTTGTGCATGCGCAGAAGCGATCTGTGCACTTCACGCACGCGCAGAAGCGCTCAATCGCACCGTGCACATGCGCAGTAGAGGCGCTCTACTTGCTGACTTTTTGGGGTGTGAATGGCACCCCGAAACGGATTAAGTCCGCAACGAGAGGTACCACTGTATGGGAATTTATGGACCCAATAGGTATCTAAAGCCATTTGCACATGTTGCCATGCAACCCGTCCATGCAGAATGTAGGCACCCTATATACAGAAATGAGCAAACCAGTGATATTTTAGGGAGCAGGCTAGCAGGCGGGGCCCATTACTTACATCATAGGAACCTACACAACACAAAACACTGTTGCTGTATGTAGGTTTTATTTTATTTGTTTATCTTATATTTTAGAAATGTACATCCAGGGTTTTTTTTTCCCTTTAAATTTTTTTGGGGCCCCCAAGAGAGTGGGGCCTTAAGCTATAGCTTGTTTCACTTATACGTAAATCTGGCACTGGGCTGCAGTCATACCCATCATGTGTTCCTCCCTATAGATAATGTCAGTTATGAGCATGCAAAAGCCCTTTAGCAAGTTCTTTTTGGGAGTGGGGTATATAATGCCTAACATTCCAGAATCCTAATCACATAGGAGTATAGAAGAGGTTAGACGAGAGGAATGTTGTGTACATCTCTGAGTGACAGCTTGTCCCAGAAACTCACATTGCTGCCTGCCATTTTCTCCTCAGGGCAGGGCCCAGCCCAAAAGGACAGCTCGCACCAGTCAGAGTGGAAGCAGCAGGAAACTGACGTCTAACAAACTGCACCCCTCAACCTCATCCCCTCTGCACTGTTACGGTAAAATCTGAGTGCGAGGCTACTCTGCCACCCAGCTCATCGGACTAAGTCCGCGGGTCCCTGCGGAAGAAAATGAGCTTAGCCAGAGACAGGAGCAAACTGCAGAAGATCCAAGTTTATTGCGCAACAGGTTCAAGGCGAGATTGAACAGCGAGAAAGGGGTGACATGAACTTTTGAAATTTCCCTCCATGTCCCAGAATACAGTGCAAAATACATCCCAGTTACATCATGAATATATTAAGAAGAGGTTGGGTTACACAGATTACATCACGAATACATTAGGAAGAGGTTGGGTTACACCGGATTAACATATGGAGGAGGAAGGGGGGAATATGCAGAGCTGGAGATATGCGCAGATAAGCACATCCTGAGAAGACAATGGTCCATGTATGCATAGTCTGTCACCTGGCATCGCCCGGAGGAAGGGCTTGGCAGAGCGATTTGACAGGATTAGGGTCTTGACACCTTGCTTGAGGGATTATGGAGGACAGGGGAGGTGTCATGGAGTCCTAGAGAAATTGAGCAAATTGGCACGTTGATTTTCTATGAATTTTATAGATTTTATAGACATTGGCAATTGGAAATAAATGGATATATTGTAGCGAAGAAGAAGGTGAAGAAGAAGACATGCCCCCCCTTCCGTATCAGCACATAACATTAGGATGGTGCCCTCACACATTCCAAACAAATGAAAATATTTAGGGTCCATTCAAAAGGGGGGGAAAAGTGCAGTGTGCGAGTTCGTGATTCTAGAATAGCAACTAAATAATGATGCTGTTGGGTGGAAGCATGCTAAAATAAATAAATAAATCCAACCCCCCCCCCAGCAAGTGTACACACACACACACACACACACACACACACAGTATATGGGATTCCATACTATCCAAAATTTCTCTGATGAAAGTAAGGACATCCTATTCAATTTTTATTTATTATTATTATTTGCTGCAGCTTCCAACATATATTAAAACATAACAAAACATTAAACACTAAAAGACTTCCCCATCCAGATGTCTAGAAGGTTGTATATTTACTTATCTCATTGGCTCAGGGCTTGTGTAACTCAGCCCCCAGCTGAAATGTTACATATATGTACAGACTCCTATAGATGTGTACAATATTAGTACATGACCTGCTTTTGTAAAGTCCAGGAACACACACACACAACTATATACAGTGGTACCTCGGGTTAAGTACTTAATTCGTTCTGGAGGTCCGTTCTTAACCTGAAACTGTTCTTAACCTGAAGCACCACTTTAGCTAATGGGGCCTCCTGCTGCCGCTGCGCCACCACTGCATGATTTCTGTTCTCATCCTGAAGCAAAGTTCTTAACCCGAGGTACTATTTCTGGGTTAGCGGAGTCTGTAACCTGAAGCGTCTGTAACCTGAAGTGTATGTAACCCGAGGTACCACTGTAGTATAAAGCAGCATTTCAAACTTTTTAAAAGAGAGCAATGCATGATCGGTTTCAGATACAGTGGT